AAAACACAAAAAAAAAAACAACCAACCAAGAAAGAAAGAAACGGCCATGTGCCTGACTGAACTGCTAGAAAAAGCCAGCCCGAGTTTTCAAACTGCTAAAGGCAGTTTCAAATGCAATTGGAACTCGGGCCCTGACTAAACTGCTAAAACGCAGTTTCAAATGCAATTACAAACTGTAACCCTGACTGCGCCGTAGTTTTCTCTAAAAAGTAACTGTGCATACTCAATATATAGGAACTGCCTAGCACTACGACTACTCTAGACTATTCCTATGGTCCAACTAAAGAGCCCAAATCGTCTACCGCCAGAACAAAAAACCCCAGACCCAACGGGGTCCAACATCAGATCGGGTCACTTCAACGAGTCACCTCTGGGGCACAGAAACCCCACCCAGACACAAAAATAGTGGTTCAGCCGGCACGGCTGCAGACCCAAAACTCAGGGCTCTTCAACGGGAAAGGCCCAAACGTCCATGGGCCAAAAAATCATACTGAACGAGTACTGGCCTCCTCGTCATTACACCCCTTTTTCGACTGCACAAGGTTCCCCTTTTAGTTCTTCTTATCGTTTTTTTTTTTTCTTTTTTTCTTTTTCTTTAACTTCACGTTCCAGGGGCCCTGCTTAAGGAGGTGATAAGAGCAGCCTCCTTAAACCACCAGTACTTGGCCCAGCTATTGTCCGCGGAAAAAAACAGAGTAGAAACTTTTCTAGTCGGATGAATTTGGGCGATCCTGTAGTAGCCCATATGTTTCCTAAAATTGTGACGCATTAACCAGCACTACTCTAGGAAGTACTGGTGGTTTAAGCAGGTCCCGGAGTTGAAGGCTCCATCTATCCTTGAAACCTCTTGGAAACTTGGTTCGAGAATCAATGGTCTCACCATCTTCCCCCCACCCATTCACGATGTCCTCTTGCTGCAAATTTGACTCATGATTCAGTTGGTTTTAGCCCTTCCTTTCCTTTCATTTCACCACATTCATCATGGTGACCTTCAGTACGTCACAACAAGTGTTTTCGGTTTTCGTCGAAGACTTGTTCATCATCACTATTTGTATGTCAAGCGAGTGACGCTTGTCCCGACTTCCTCACCCTTTCTTTTTCTAGATCATCCATTTTTGCGATGTGGTCCCTACCACGGCGAAGGAGCTCAGACAACTCAAGGGGTGGTGGGTGGGGTATTCATGGAGGGGAAGATTTGTGACCTTGCATGCTTTGGCATCCAGAGCCTCAATCCAGATGGTCCTCCCTTTTTTTTTTTTTTTTTTTTTTTTCA